TAATATTATTTTGTGTAAAATAAGTATTGAATAATATATAAAAAATAATCTTTCTCTAATAAAATAATATAATAAAATATTAAAATATATAATGCTTTTATTTATCAGAACTGAATTTGTCAAATTTGCACTTTACAAGATTCTCAAGTTTCACAGAAATAAAAAATATTAATTTCATTTGTATCTGTACAAAATATTTCTATAAAATAATTATAAAAATAACTTCATATATAAGCTTGTTTTTTGCGTATATTACTGCTTAAAATTGTAAACTTTTCGGCAAAAATAATTTTTACTTGCAAAATTTTTAGATACAAAGGTATTAATTTATTAAAATTTTGATCATCAATATATTACAGTATTATATATTAAACTACAAAAATAAAGTGTATTTAAAATCAATTGAAAAATATATCTTGTTTTCTATATTTTATATTCCATTGAAACTCAGTTCATTAGAACATGATATTACATGACAATATCGATAAAAAAGGAGGGAAAAACGATTGAAATATGTATGTACATATTAGGTAATATGACAAAGTTGCGGTTTAACCACTTGGACAGGGTCTGTAAATTTCTATGCAATTTATGGCATATAAATTATTTCTTTATTGCTTCCTGATCGCTTAACGTGCGCGACCGACCAACCCAGATTCCTTTTTTCTCACCCCGTGTATCTAAAGCGGATCCACAATGAGAGATACCGCAAGACAAAAGTCGGTAGGTCGGAAGCGGAAGCTCGTGATTTCACACGGAAGCGCATGTGTTCTGCGCGAATTTATTTTACTTTCCATCCAGTGTAAGTGGATACGTAACACATCGTACGCGCATATAAATGTATTTTCACGCTCCGGTTCCTGCGACATCATCACGCTGAGGAAATGCACTTGCCGCAATCTATTAATCACATTTATCGTCTAAGTTTCATTTTTTGAGGTAAAAGAACGTTATGAAAAAATTCAGAAATGTTAACTGTAAAATTATAGTTAACTATAGTTAATTAAAGTTTCTCAGAGCATGAAATAAGATTTAGAAAGGTTTAAATTATATGATTATTAAATCTTTTTTAAGCCCAAAACTATTAATATTATAAATTTACAATTATATATTAATATAAATTATAAATAAATATAAATTATAAATTTTTCTCTCTCATAAAATTTGATATGCAATATATTAAAATTATAGAATGTTCTGCATTAAAATGACTATAAATATTTATAATTTACAAATATTTACAATTTATTAATAAAATAAAATTATAAATTATATGATAACACATATGTAAAAAAAAGAAAATAATTAGAAAGGGAAAGAAGAGAAAGAGGAAGTGTGTAGGCAGCATGAAATGTTGTATTATCTTTAAAAAAGGGGGAATGTTGCAACGCATTTCTAATCAATGGCAAGTTATAAAATATGAAATATAACGAGTATAATTAATTAGTAAAAATGCAATCAAGTGTAAATAAAAATATAAAATTCCATCCTACGTTCAGGGTTAATGAAAAATTGCGAAATTCTCTCTCGTTCTATAATTACGCCCTTCGCGCCAATCACACGGTACATTATCACGGTTACGTGAAAACGAGATTGCGGCAAAAGTGTATCGAAGTGCGAGCAAAACGAGAGCAGTGAACGTGCTTTTCGCACGTATGTATGCGCCAGTCACGTGTGAACCATATAAAACATATAAAATCACGAGTGGACAGGCGGCTGCACGTGTCCGATCAGAATTATCCGCGCGAGCTGGGATCTTGTCGCACGTGACCGGGGACCTCGCTTAGAAAGCAAGCCTAGGGTTTCTCAGAGGAATGCCCATTTAGCAATCGCTCTACTCGCTGGCCCCGAAACGCCGTCGCGATCGAGTAAACGCGAACTAAAAGAACGAAGTTAGAAATAACTAACATGCCGTGTGTTTTAAACTTGTTCTAGAGGCTACAAGTTAAAATTTGATCAACACGTTAGAAATTGCAATCTGTCATATTTAGAAATAATTTATCGATAATATTAATTAACAGAGACAGAGAGAGATAGAGAGAAAGCTCTCTCTATATATATCTTATACATTATCTTTATACATGTATATTTTATATATTTTTTATATAATTTATTAAAGTTTATATTATGTATATATGTATAATTTTTTATAAGCTTTTATTTATATAGATTTAATTAGTAAATTAAAAATATATGAAAATAATTTAAATTATAGCCAGAAAAATTTAGGAATGTGTTGCTTAAAAGATCTATAAATTTCTAACAATACATTTCATCATAGATGGAATTTTACATAATATAATTATACTACATTTATAATATAATATAATAATTGTTATGATGATATAATAAATTATAATGTTATTAATGTTTATCGTCGTTTATCATGTAAATTATTATCAGTAATCATTATATTGAGACATATAGATCACATTTAGAAATATTAAATGTTAATAATTAAATAATTTAAATAAATCGATTTTTAAATATTTCTTATGGACAAGGAAGAGAGAAAGCTTTCACTTAAATTTCCTTAACAGAGAATTAGTTTGAAACTTGATGATAAAAATGTAAAGAAATTTGCGAAAGAGAGAGATTGTGATCTCGAATTAAATTTTCTTATATATCAAATATAAAGGAAATTTATTCTCAAATATGTTAATCGAGATATACTTCCGTTGTAATAACTCTTGTTTTTTTATTTTTAACATATTCCATGTACCGAGTACGTAATGTAACGCAATAATATAAGCAATATCCCAATTATACAAGCAGAAGCCGGTACAAGGATGCCGTAGGGAACGTATAGACGCAAACAGTTATACACTTTCACTTGAATCTCGTTCAGCTTCACAATTAAGATATACAGAGTGTCTATCTTTCGCCGAAGTCACATTTCGATATTCACGAAAAATTATGTACGAAGGGGATGACATAAAATCTTTACATTCTAATTAAAATAAATAAAATAATAATTAATACGTACAAGAATTATTTAATATTTGGGGTGATTCCTGGCAGTAACCATCTTTTCATTATTTAACATTTATTGGAATCTTATTATTTTTATATTTTAAAGAAAATATTAGAAAATAGTAAACATTTAATAATTGTGTGTATAAATAGATTAGTTTCCTTTTATGATGCAAGATTTAAGATTTAATTTTTCAGTCAAGTTAGTCAATTAATTAAGAAATTAGTCAATTTATTGTCTCGAGACAAATTTTCCTTTCCTCCTTAATGGCAATATATATTATGAAGGTTGAAAATGATTCGCTCGAAATTTCGCTTCGGGTGATTTTATTGTTGCCGGCAATAACATTAGTCATCGCTGTGCATCGCGTTAGGTGCAACTCAATTCCCAGGCATATCGTGAGACGAGGATGACATTCACTCGTCTATTTACGATGTGCAAAGCATTTATATAAACAATATTTCTAAGATATATAAATATGCGTCTATCGTACAACTTACTCAGGCCGTTCATTTTTTAATTAACAAGCTAAAATTAAATTTGAGGAATGTTGTTGTTATATCGTATAAAGTAGAATATTTTTTTGACAAGAGATTTTCTCAGGTGTATCTCTTTCATGTATATTCGATCTTTTTTATTTTAAACAAAATAAATTAAATATGAGATTGGACATTTTTTTCATGAAACAGTTAATAGAGTTTAATCGTAAAGTTAATAAATATTGAATTTTATATGTTATAATTGAAATTTTATAAAAAAATCTGTTTTTATTCTTTTGAATATTTATAATAAAAAAATTAAGCAAAAATGCACAAAATATTTCTTTCTTGTCTAAATAATTTGAAGAGAATTAATCTTACGATTGAGAAAAATAAAGCACAAATGTGAATTAATTTTATTAGATTTTTAATTAATTTCATTAATTTCATTAAATTCGTTAGATTTAAATAAAATAAGTTGAACCACATATACTATTGCATGGATGCCCTCAATTTTCATATCGAAAGTCTTTATGAAAGAGTAGAATTCGTTTCAATATTTCTAGTAGTTGGATCCAAATAAAAGATTTCGTCGGATCATCTCGCTTCCTATAAATTAAGTGCAGATACGGATGAACATTCTCTCTCGTGAAGTCGCGCTTTCTCTCGTGTTCAACTTATATGAAAGTGACACAATTCCTTATTCATTGATTGCTCTGATATTTGTTTCGAATATCTCTTATAAGTCAGAATTAGAAGATGCACACATACATACATACATACATACATATATACACACACATATATATGTAAAATTATATTTATTTTTAACCTTATCATATAATATTTTAAAAATCTAAAAATTTTTTATTAGAAATTAGAAATTTGAAAGTAAATTTTATATTTCATTTTATATAAAGTAAAATAAAAATTTTACTTTCAAATTTCTAATTCATAGTAAAAAATTTTTAGATTTTTAAAATATATGATAGATTAAAAATAAATATAATTATGTTATGATTATGTCTAAAAATATAGTAAATAATACATAAAGAAATATGCATCCTTTTAATTCTACATATAGTCACATCTCTAATATATTTCCGTTGATTATTCTGATTTATTCTGATTTCTTGATTTTTTATAGACATACCTAGATAAACGGACTAATTATTATTTCAGTGTCGATGTCATTAACTATAATTAATATCGATAATTAACGATCCTAACGACATTAACCGATCGTATAAAAGGTATTTATATCATTTTATTAGATTTAAAAAATATTGCACAAAATATATTTACTTAAATATATAAATCAAATTAAAGCATGAATTAAATTTTTATAAGCCATCAAACAAGAGAATAAAGTATATTATTAGATCATAAAATTTTTGTATTAAAATAAAAATATATACTATTATCTCGAGCTAAACACGTAAATTCCAAATGACACAGGCACAGAAATCCTTTTGACACTTATCCTGTCACGTGGAGCAGAGATCGACAGGAGTAACATGAGGAATATCCGTCAGTTCTGTACGTACCGGATCGCGAACGTTATCCCAGGCTTGAGTGATTTTTCGAGGGATGCTCAACTCGCTGATAACTCGCGATGCACGATACTCGACATGCCAGCTCCCAGCTCACCTCGGACTGACTGCACGCGGTCCGAGGACCTGGGACCATCGTTGCGGGCCCTCGCGATCACAGCTTGCTTTCACTCGGCGAGTACCTCAAGCGGTACCACCGCGTGAATCGTCGATCGCTGATAAAAGACACGGATTTGATACGACTTAATGCGCGCTGCTGCTCACGCGATGTTTCGCATAAAATTCATATATGTCATGTATCCAAGTTTATATATACATATGTGTTCAGTTATGTCATAGGTGTTGAATATTAAACATGTATATTCAATTATATGTAACATTCAAATATCTCTCATACACTTGACATTTTCTTACTACTTGAATTTCTCGTTTTCGATACTTATTATTGATATTCATTGCTAAAAATATAGTTCTCGATATATTTTAATACTGATTATTTAATATTGACCAATAGTTGAGACCATCAAAATAATCTCTGTTATTTTAGAGCTTCTTAACTTATATAACAATTTTTTTTGTATTATCAAAATATTATATATCGCTTGTATCTTATACGCAATTCTTTTTTATAAAAATATTACTTATTATTATTACATTCTTATAGGGCACATACAATCGATGATTGTGTGTGTGACATATTGTTGCAAGATGTGAAAATCTCCCATACGATTATATCGCGGGATTTAGGAGAATTGTGAATTTATTTTAAGAAGACATCTTTCTTACCATATTATGATAGGATACGATTGCACGTAATTTTAATGCAATGTATATACAAGGCTTTCATTTAAAAAAAATTATACATATATACAAACGCATATTACTGCGTAATGTGGTAAAAAATTGATATATGAAATAAGATACATATAAGTAGAGCGAAATTGTTATGTAAAAAAGATTTCTAAAATATAAATATTTAAAAACCTTCAGCTTGAGTCCTCATCCTCGGTGGGGACATCTTCACGATGCTGTTTCGGATTCCATCGACGCCAAAGTAATTCTCTCACTGTAAATTCAGAGAGTATTTCGGGGCTAGTTGCACTGATGTCCTGAGGCACTGATGATGGCCATAAAACTTGCGCGAAGAGTATCTCCTATAGTCCAAACGAGTCAATAATAGTTAATAATATATGAAAGATTGTATTTATATTATATTTATTATATTTATTACATAAATATGCAATTGTTTATACCTTGGCAGCAGTTTCAGAGAGCCTTTGCAATCCAAACAAACTGTCCCACGTGGATCGCGTAGACAAAGTAGACTCTATAACTAAGGAATCTGCATCTACTACTTCGACTATGACAATATAAGATGCATGAAAAAAAGGTGGTCCTTCTTTATAGAGCACTAAAAAATTTAAAAGTATGTTAAATATAATAATAATAATAATGTAAAATAAACAAAATTTTCTTTTTTTGAGATATATATACACATAAGTATATGTGAATACAAAATCTTTTAAAAAAGACAATTATAAAAATATTTTTAACTAACTCAAATTATTTACTATTTTTCTGATAATATAAAAATGATTTAAAAAATTTTTTACAAGAAAAATATGAAAAATCAAGGTGTAACTTTATACATATATGATATTTTTAAATATGGGAAGAATAAAATATTCAATAAGATATTTTCAAAAAATGAATACTCAAATAACGAATACTAACAAAAGTCGCCGCCATATTTCAGGCCGGGCTTGACCACCCATCCTTTACTTCTGTAATAATGATAAACTACATATTTTTGTAAAAAATCTGGCTTTTCCTTGCAAAAGTACAACCATGCATTATTGATATCCAACAGACTGCCATCAAAGTGAACCACTTGGAGACAACCTAAACCAAAGAGGAGAAAAAAAGTCTCTTCAAAAGTGAGATGCAGAGCCTCTCGAATGGGGAAACCTTCGTTTTCGATTCTCGGCTTAATATTTTTTAAATAGTTTTCAGTATCTGAATCACTGTCTGGTAAAACCAATAGCTTTCCATGCTGCTTATCATCTTCACTCGCGCAGTCACTCTTGAAATCGTAATAATTTAATTCGCAAACTTCTTCCTCTTCTTTTTTTTCCTCTGAGAAATTCTCATCATCGTGAGTTTTTGGTGGACTTTTAATATTGTCAGATTCTTGATTATTAATGATGATACATACGTCATCTTCTTCTGCAGAATCTAAAACGACTTCGTCAATTTCTATGTCATTTGTGACTTCGTTTCTTTGTTTCGTGTTGTTTATTTTGTTATTTTTCTCATTGCAATTCAATGGAATCTCAATGACGTCTCCAATATTCTCTGTTTTGCTATCCAAGACATTTTCTTCTTCACATTCAGCACTTGTTTTAGCATCTACAACATTACAGATTTTCATTGTAAGTTAATAATATATTATTTTTATTTTATTTTATATTTATTTAAAAATGATTTTTATTATATTAATGAATGATAAATAAAACAATTCATTAATATTTTAGATATCATGATATATTGTCTGTTGTACCTTCAAAATTGGAAGAGGCAGAATTCAATTCCTTAACTTCTTTCAACCATTCTTGTCTACGAAGCCACTGTCTGTTCCGAACAACTGGTGGTGCTCCGTATCTTGCTTTACCAAATGATGGATAACTGCGTGACAATGATCCTTTACCAAAAAATCCCTGCAGATAAAAATATTTATTCCTTATTGCCACTTATGTCAAAAATTAATCTTAAAACTTGTCCTCACCATAGAATGCACTGCATTGATCTCCTCAGGTTCAATTATGCATGATCCTACATCTGTAAGATGTGCAGTATACACTGGCCATTCTTGCGTTTCATTCAAAGGAATAGGAAATGGACATTGTGGCTTCAATTTTATCTTTTTTTTCTTTCTTGGTTCTCTTAAATTCATGTTCAGCTAAAAAATATCAATAAATAAGAAAATAAAATTTTATAATATACATTTGTTATAACATCTATCGTGCAGTGTCTATTAGAATGAATCCTAAAATCTTGAACATATATAATGTTTTGATTCTTATTAAAATTAAAATTCAATTCAATGAAAATTCAAATTAAATTTGTATTAAGAATCAAGATAATTTTTTAAGATTTTAATTACAATTATAAATAACATTTGTTAGTATTATAATATGTATAATAAAGATAGATAAAATAAAAGAATTAATTTACGTATGTGCTTACAAAAAAAATCGAAAATTATACAAATGCAGAATTTTAGTTTTTCTTGTATGCAGAGACCATCGACATATTATTTAACCTATAAAAATAGATTATCATCTCTTTATATATAGAATTTTTTATATACAAATTTAAAATAAATTTTAAACACAATATAAAACGAAGAAAATGTGTTTCCCTATATAAAAACTTACATTTGTATTATTCGTTATATCAGTTATTAAAAGTCATATATCGTTTTAAATGACCGCTACCGATTTCATTTAGGACTGATTGTTGTTTAGGTAAAGTTAGGTCAGGTCAGGTTAGATAAGCTAGGTGACATGACATAAAACACATGTATACTAACATTTAATTGTATCATTAATAGAATTTGTTTTCAATCAATTTACACACCTATTTTCAACTTATAGTCATAACAATAATTTATAGTAATAATAATAATAGAAGCGCAATTTTAATGTAAATAATTTGGAATTTTTTCCTTTCTTTGATCACACATGATTTATCCTTTTATATCATTAAAATATATATAAAAGAAAATATACACGTTTCATTATATTATATGAAAAATAATTCGTATTTTTCATAAAAATCAAAAGATTCAGCACAATTTTAATAGAGATTTATTATGCAGAAGTGGTTTCAAATTAAGATTATTGAAATTGATCTTCTCAAATCTTAAATCGATTGTATCCTTTACAATATCAATTGTACAGTTAGGTCTATATAATTTTTATTATATCGACTCTTCCGAAATATGAACGCAAAAATTAGGCACATGAAATATTTTAACACGTTTCAGAAAATAAAAGCTCAATATATAAAAGAAATGTCTTAATCTTTTAGACAACCTAGCTATGAAAAACGTATTTTTTATATAAATATGCATATATTTGTGTATAATTTTCGATTTTTTATAAGTGCATACAATAAAAAACAGGTTTTTCATACTTAATTTTTTAAAACATCCTTTATTTTTCAAGTTATTCACTTCGCAGCAATGTTAAGCATTTCTATCACATCCACAATTTTTTCCCGCGGTTTTCCCAATTGTTTACCACGGTCTTGTTCAACACGATCAATCTTTTGCCAGTCCTCATAAGATACGATCTGGATTCCTTTGGCATTCAAGATATCGCGCACACCGTTTGAACCCGCTTTATTCTCAGTCGAGGAAATCAGTTCGTTGCACACCAAACTACCGACTTGAAAAGCGTTCGTCATAGTTAATAAAATAACGCCGACCGGTCCAGTGGCCGCCCATCCAGCGCTGTAGAGATTGGCGTCAACCTTACCGTCCTTATTCATCACGCGTCCTTTCTTCCCATCAAATGGAATCGAACTATCTATTTGAACGGACTTGTAACCGATGCTACGCACAGCCAAGCCACACGAGATCGTCTCGAATTCGTTGGTGGCTTCGGCCACCTGATCTTGAAATGCATCTCCTTGCAGACGATTCACTGCGAATCTAATGCTCTGTAAATCATCATCGCCATGGAATTCGACGGGACTTCGCAGAAAGATCGGATTTAGCTCTTTAGTCTGCGTCGAGTCGCTCACAGATTCTTCTAAAGATTTCAACATGAGTTCCGTGAGTCGTTTTCGCGGTCTAGCTAAGGTTGGCACGATATCTCGTACACCCGTGAAATCTTGCAGTCGCCAAAGATTCTTGCAGTTCTCCAACTTGAGGAGTTCGCGCAGTTCCGCGATCGTGAAAGCGGCCTGCAAAGGTCCTCTGCGTCCAACCATAGAGACTTTTCGCACTCTACTATGAGATAAACGTTCCAGGGCGAACGATGTGATGTCAGTGTTCTGAAATAATCGAAAGAGATCAGAGATGGTTTCACATATTTCAAATTAAAAATTAATTCCATTTTGTAATAGATAAAATTATTTAAAGATTTAGTTTTAAAATCTATAGTATATTCGATTTTAGAATCTTTTTTTGATTATAAATCCTAATTATTTATAAAAGTTTTAATTTAACAATAAATCATTAATTAGGAATCGAGAATTACCTTAAGTTTATCGATAGGTGTTAAAAGAATTCTCGTGATATCTATAGCTACGTTGCCTTGACCTAGAACAATCACTTCCTCCATGTCTAAATTAATGTCCAAGTCCTTGTCAGCTGGAATTCCATTGTACCAACCAACGAAACGTCGACCTGATATCACATTGTTTAAGTGTTCACCTGGTATATTGAGCAGTCGGTCTTTTTGGGCGCCATAAGTCTAGAACAAGAATAAAAGAAACAATTATTAATTAAACAAAAATATTATATGTTTACTTCTCATTACATAATTAACAAATATAGTTTAAGTATTACATACCAATAATACAGCATGATAAAAATTACGTAATTGATCAATAGTAATATCCGTGCCAACATTAACGTTGCCTAGAAATTGAACACGTGGATTGGTCGCGGTTTTATGGAACGTATTGATGACATTTTTCACTTCTGGATGATCCGGAGCAACCCCGAAGCGCACCAGACCAAAGGGAACAGGTAGCTTCTCCAATATATCGACTCTCACATCGCCAGAACTCTATCAATCACAATTTGATATATTTGTTATTTTATTTTTCGTGAAATATTTAGACTTTAATAAATTTATTTTTTTAATAATTTGTATCTATATTGATTGTAATTAATCTCTATTGCTATTACCTTTAATAACTGTTGGGCTGCATAAAAACCTGCCGGACCTGAACCGACAATGCATACCTTCGGCGTGTGCTGTCCGGTGGACAGGAAACGAGTACAGTTCCTGATAAGGTAACATTTCATCTTAACGTGCGATGACGTCGATCTAAAACGTGGCACGTGGATTTTTTATAGTTACAATACGCCTTCGAAAAGACCTCGCCGAGACTCGCACAACGCCGTCTCGTTATTTCAATGAAGAAATCCTTTTCTAGAAAGCGGAATCTCGGTCTACGCATCGAACGTGATTCCAAAACATCGATGTTACATCTGTTGTTACAAAACAAATCTGACCCACAAGTATCGACCTCGAATCTGAAATTATTTATTAACTCGTGTTATTTATTATTAAGTTATTATCGTGCAAAAATATCAAGTATGAAAAATTTCACGAGAATAAAATTAGATTCTTTTATTCATATATCGAGATTTGGACATTATTTTTTATCCTTATTTAAAATATTAAAGCTATTATAATTTTAATTAATATAAGATCTTTATAAACTGTACAAGAAAATTTAGGTATTATTTTTTCGCTGTAATTTGTTACAAGAAAATGGAAAATATTTATTAAGATTATTTAAAAATAAATATAAAATATATAAGAATTTTTCTATACTTTTCTGGATAAAAGAAACGTTTCTCATTTTTAATCTTTGATATAAGTATATAATTACCATTTGTCTTACTTGCCCATGCATGCAATCATTTTTCCATTAACGAAAAATTTCGTTTTTAACATTGCATATTTTACAAAGCTTTGCACATGTATATTTTACTCATAATAAGGAAATATTTGCAATATAAATACGATATTTATAGAAAGAGAGAAAGATTCACAATATTATTTACAATTATCTTCAAGTATATATAGTTTTAATTATAAATAAATTTATATTTATAATTATACAATCACATCATGTATAGAATTTCTGACATGATGAGCGTATTTTTTAATCATCAGGTGATTAAGTTGAATTATCATGGGAAACTGGTCACATTCTAGAAAAAAGTTGTGTCGTAAATATCGGATGTACGTTAATAATAAGTATAAATAAGTGTATTTGATGCGATTGACAATATTCTTTATTAAAGACCGAAATGATTTCTCGTTAACAAAATAGTTAAATAACTGTTAAAATCTGTAAACCAAATATATTTAAAAAAAGAAAGAATATATATTTATATTAAGAATTATATTTTATATTTATATTTTATATTTATATACACTAACACAGAAAATTAATGAAATTGATTTGTTCTCTTTTCTGTTTGTTATTATATATAAATCTTACCATATAAAATTGTTATAGGTATTATCGACCAGATTATCATATTATCTTTGCGTGCATTTTGCGACGCAGTAAATATTTCGCGCAAATCATTAAATGCTTTATCATTATGCTTATAAGTCTCCAATTTTATGCGATAGCCTTCGTTATCATAAATATCTACAGTGATGTTATCGAAGAAATCACTTAGGAGATGTAAAAGACCGACGTTCAACTGCGTCAACAAAGAGTAGCCGACGAGAACGAGTGTTTGTCCGATTCGGAGCTTCTCTAATCGATCGTAAATTTCAGCAATCGTCCGATGACTATCGTAATCGCGGACGAATTGGAAGCTCAGTATCTCGTGAAGTGGATCAATTTGTTGCGTCTGCTCTCTTGTAATTTCTGCTGATGGGAAATATACGGTAGAGCACGTATCTCGTACTATATCGTCAATCTTGTTCAATATTTGATGAATTCTCGAGTCACAAAAGTGCGAGCTGCGGACTTTGTTAAAAGCTCTTCCTGTTTGTATCTCTACAGTTTCCGGTGCCCGTAAATGCCACTACAAAAGGAAAATAATCACGTTGTGGACCATTATTCTTTTCTTTTCAGAAAATAAAAATTTTTCTATTTTTTCAAACAATAACTTACACACACCTTAATTATTTCCTCACACACAATAAACATAATTGTGATACAATTAGAATAAAATTAAGATTAAAATATGATAAAATTAAGATACACATTTTGTAGAGCGTTGTTTCTTTCAATTGCTGGGTTTAATTTTCAAAAATATTATGGAAGACGAAATTTTTTAGTCTGCCACAAATTGTGAGATACATGGCTTTTTCTAATTTGAGATTTATACAGAAACACGCAGTTAAAAAGCTTGCTTACAGTGTAAGATTTTTCTGCTGGCGATTCGATCTCCATCACTTCGTTACATATCTGCGATAAGTGTTCTCGCGGTTCTAAATCTTGTTTCTTGCAACGCTCGTTATAAGAATCGACACGCCATTTTTTATTCGTAAAGCTATTGCTGCTCTTCTCTAATACTTCCCGGCCGACTATCTCATTCCCGGGATCTATTCGACTCAATCTGCAATCCCTGAGATATTTATTAGCAACAATTCGCCTGACATGCTTCAATGTGGAAAGGATATCGTTGTATTTTTCTGTACGAAACATACTTATGTTATCTTCTATGACTTGGCACTGATGACATTTAAAGAACTCGCTGCATTCCTCGAGTCTTCGCAGGAAGTCATCTGGAATATCCCGCGGATTAAACATCGCTTTTGCAGGCGACCCGTTGCTGCAGTGCTGTCTGAGAATATTCAAATACGGTGCTATGTAATCTCTACCCTTGAAATTTACGCAGACGACGTACATTTCTGAATTTCCAGCTTTGCTGGACGCTGGCTTTGTTACAGTGACCTGATGAAAGACGCAGGATAGCAGATACATCAAGCATACGGACTGATGCTCGAACAGGGTGAAGAGCTTGAGGAGAAAATTGCCCCCTTTCTCCAAGAGATGCATACAAGCCACCGTTTCACACAAGTGCAACTGAGCCACAGCGCTTTCTTGCTCTCCTGGCACGTCTGTGCAATCTACACTTCCATCTGCGGTGACCAGCAGGATTCGTTCCTTCTCATTTAAGAGTTTGCATCTCTCTATGAAAATGTCTAGATTTCTAAGATCCATGATATCACCCGTATTGTCGGCGCCAAAGCACCAATGCTTCAGAGTGTGCCTGATGAACCTGTCATCAGCGACCATCCTGTCGTATGAATTTCCCTCGCAGTAAGGATTCAACGTGGTTGCCAACCAATTCCATTGCACGTTGGGCGCGTTCGTCTTCAACCAGTGATTCAGAGCAGCCACAAAGGCACCTGGTGCTTCGCACAGATGCACGGAAGTGAAGTTCTTACCGTTTTCTTCGCGATGAATCTCGTTTAACGGGACTAGAAAAAAGTTGGAAGCGATCTCGTAGAATTTACACCATGCTTGAGTCACAAGCTCTGCTTGTATGTTCTTTTTCACAGCGCTCACGATATCGCCTGCTTTGTTCATCTGATTCGTATGTTGTTGCCATTCGCATAGATTGAAATTGTTGAGACGACTCTTCATCTCGTTTAGACTATTCTTCAACATTTGCAAGTTATCCAGCTGCCATGGTGACGCTTTAAACATGGACTCGGGCTCGGGTAATGTATATGTTTGCGTTTGTTCTTGGCTGTCCGAAATTGTGAAATACTTTTCGAACAATGTCTCGATGCTATACGTCAGCTTGGCATGTCTACTTTTATCAATTTTTTTATTTTGTAATTTTTGTTGTGACACTTCAAAACTATTCCTTTTTTCCTCCGCCATTATGTAAAATGTAAAATTAATTCAGGATTGTAGTAAAATGATTGAAAAGTATCTTTACTTTTCTCTTATAATTACATGATTTTTTACAATTCACATTCTATATCCATCTTGCGAGTTTTCATCCAATGTTTTTCTTGATCCTGGAAGTTGCAGTTGTTTCATGTTTATATATCTGTTAGCATGATATCGAAGGCTGAGATATTTTCTTAAAATAACTCTGAATGTACAATATATGCGAAAGAAAACTGATTTGCATGCAAATAGTTCTCCTATTCAAATAAAGTCACAAATTTCATAAAATTCAATATTATAATACATATGATACTAAATTTATTATATAATTGTTATAATTAATATAATTTATATATAATTACATAATTGTTATAATTAAATATGTTTAACTGTTCTTCTGTTACATTTTTACGTTTTCAGTGCCTAAAATAAATCTTTTATTTATTTACGTTTCTTATACCTTTTTTTTCTTTTTATCCTTATTTAAAATCAAATTTATAGACTTATCTCGAGTTCAATAGCAAGAAGATACATCTCCAACAAGCAGATTTTGTGTTGAAAATAGGAAGAGAAAATAACGCACATGTAGAAAAAATGCAATTAAAAGAGATTAGTTAAGAAAATCTCATTAAGATTCTTAGAAGAACCTGTTGCTTACATCAGAGGATTATTTACGATTTTGAGGTTAGTTACGTACACCGGCATTGCAGACAAGAAAAAAAAAATATGACTCACCTCTTCGGGAAAGCACGTGTGGCCGTACAATTCACAGAATGCTTCTCCTAAACTGAATCGAAATATTATCTAGCCTATTTTCTCGACGAACATGCAAATTTCTGCACACACATCATCTCGACACACTTGTTATTATGTACATTATCGCGGCGATATTCGCGAATGTCACAATCTGTGACGTCAGAGAGAGCTAGAAGACGATTGGTCTGATTGCCGCATGCGCAGTCCTCTCGGGATACGTTCGAAAATTTACTAGAGTGAAGTTAGACGCTCGGTCGACCAATGAGAACAGAGGACTCCTTGCTCCAAATTAGTACAGATTTTCGAGCGCATGCACAGTCCTCCCGTGGAATCCGGTGCAAGATGGCGTCGATAGTGCGGTTCGGGTACTTTACGTGAGTATGATATAATGAAAAATATCATCTGATTATGATAATCGTGCGATAATCGTGTTTGATAATCCATTTTGGTAGGATATATGTATATTTTTTTCTCCAATATTTCGCGTTTGCGCGTAATTTTTAGGCGATCGACGCGTTAAAAAAATTCGAGCGACAAGAGCGCGATTTTCTTCGATATAAATGTCATATATTTGTATTATTTCTAATAATGAAATACGATAAAATTGTATTTTAATATGATTGTTATATATTTTCTTTATATTTAGCGTTTTGAATGCGAGATGCTTGTATTATTGTCGGATATCGTTTTAATTGTCGTGTTTCAAACAAACGTAGCGCGCTTTCACGTGAAGGTAGAATCGACTCTTCGAAGAGAGAATCCGATGGCGGGAAATCGATGTCTCTCAAAATGGCGTCTTCAGTTCGCGAGTTTCAAAGTTACGTGGTAAAGTTCAAAATATCTTTGTATTTATATAATAATCGCTCGTCGTTTGATATTTCACTCCTGTAGGATATATATCTTTCGTTTGATGTTTCACGTATGTCATAATTGATGATGAATCGTCGTGATTGATGATGAAATTCGAGCGGCGAGAATAATTAATAAGCGCGATACTTTGAGAGATACGGAATATTTGTGACATCGAATTTCTAAAAAGTACGATTCATATATTTTTATTGTTAATCTATTTTTGAATGCGAAATATTGGATATCAGTTTCGATACGTTTCGATTGTAAGAAAAAAGAAATCAATTTCTCTCCTTCATAAGTTGATCCTTCGCGAAAAATTCGACAAAGTATGGCATTTATATTACGGATCGCGAGTGTTTGTAAATTGTGAAAAATTTGAAAGTATTCGAATCGTGTAAACCGATCATTTCGAGAGTGCTTTTTGGTGAAAAAGTTGTGCTTCTTGGATCTCGAGAACTTCGTCGGAGAAAGAGAAGACTGTCAGTGAAAGGTGTGTATTATTTAAAGATTATTTCGCAATGATGTATGAATGAATCTTAATTTTAAATTCAATACGAATTTATTAAAACGAAAAAATATTAAAACAGCTAAATTAAAATAGTATATTATTTTGTATTTAATTATATATTTTCTTACATTGCTTTATTTTATTACTAACATTCCATAATAATATCTTACTTAGAAAAATTACTTAAAAAATTTATATATATAGTCCATATACAAAAATTATATTATTTAATTGTTCAATGAAATTTCTGTATAATAATATATAATATTTATTATTATGTGTATATTATATATATATATATATATATATATATATATATAATATTTATTATATAATGTTATCTTAAATTATTTTATAATTGACTTCTTTTTCTTTTTTTTCTATTATATATAGATTTATTATACAATATTATGTTTATATAAAATTATATTTATGTATATGACTCTTATTATCATATAAGTACATTATTCTCGTTATTACTTAAGTTTCTTCTAAATTCGAAAAAATTATTAAAAAATTAACGATAACAAAATATTGCAACATACAACAGATACATTAATATATAATATTTATCTTTTTTCGATTTCTATTTGAGATTTGCCTTTGCGATTTGCAATCGATTTGATATATTTACATGGCGTTCGGGGATTATGAGAAATCTAATGTATAATTTTATGGAACATGCATTTTTTGCAGGAAACTCGTAGTGCTGCTCGATGCTGACGGAAGAACAGACAGTCTGATGCTAACTTCCTGTAGTGGCAGATGCGCTGATTTCATCATTGGTAAGTGCAACATTTGCTTGCGAACGCTTCTATTTCCTGTAGCCCAGTTTGCGTAGGGCCTTCAGGTCCACGTTACCATAATAATCTTGACTGGGAAATGTATAAAAATATTGGGCGTGACTTGATCGTAACATATGATTCCTTCAATCAAAATCGCGACCTTCAGATGGTTTTAATATGATTTTAATGATATAATTAATTAAAGTTATAGGATAATAATGATTTGCATCAAATATGGATTTGCATATTGATTCTTTACAATTTCTGATAAATTTGACTTTATATATTGGAAATCCGATTGAAGGTTGTATCAAAAATAAAAAAAAATTAGTTTTGCGAAGAGAAAGCTAAGCAAATAAATTGATCTCGTTATGTTAGTCACATAAAATTTATCATGCAATTTTTCTTTGTACATCGGACAAGATTTTACAGATATTTCACTCGCGATTGTATTGTTTCTTGATTTTCAAATTTAAATGAAATATGAATAAAAATATTTATACATATGCACATACATTCCTTTCATACATTTATTCATCGTTTTTTAATTGCAGTGATAAAATTATAGAGATGTACAGGATATTTAATGTGTGTTAAAGTACCTATTTCCAGTTTTTAACATATTGCATATGTTACGATTAAGTTATATACATTATTAGCTTTAACATGCAACAGATAAGTACATAGAATGTGTTAAGAAACTAGTAAAGACACATACTAGCACATTAGAATTAAATGAAAATTAAATAAACATCAATGATTATCCATCGATAGAGATCAATTAGGGAACAGGACAAACAAATATACATTGCTTATATTTCCACCACATATTTGGTATCAAATAGCTATTTGATTTTTAATATTTACGTAAATGTAATATATATATGTAAACCGATAGTATTAAATAAGTAAGAAATTCTTATATCTTAATTTTATCCTATATCATAATTTTAACATCAGATAATTAGATTTCAAATATATATACGAATCAAAAATATATACGATCAAATATATATACGATCTCTTTTAAAATATATTACATTGTATAAATATTATATATATATATATATATATATATATATATATTAATATCTTTAAATAATTGGAATGTTATAAATGGAATTTTTTTTAATATTAGCATATGCGATGAAAATACGAGCTAAAATCTTTGATAAATTTTCTCTTTTTTTATTGTTGTAAACTTTTCACTTTACTTAAAAATACATGACAAACCGGCCAAATTTGTTTATATATTGACGCCAAGAGTCGGAAGAATTTCCGAATTGCAAATCGTCAATCACGCGAGTTCATAGACTCGATCTCGTATATAAAATTGAATACTTTTTGTTTGTTTTTATTTAATCGTGTATTTTATAGAAATGAAAATTTCATTGAGTTTTATTTCGCATGCCATACATGTAGAAAAGTTAGTCTTTCTAATTAGTATGATTTTTACAAAACTGAATTATTTTTAAGATTGAAAATTTTCAGAACACATATTTTATTCATTCTTTGATGTAAAAGTACATCATTAGGAAATAGATACAAGTTGTAGATTATTAAAAATAATCAATAAAAGAAATAATCAATATAAGATAATTTTATAGACGATGCATAATAGAATATATTTTTAAAAATTTTTGTTACGCAAATATGTAATTCTTATTTTTAATTCACGTTGTTTTATTCACGAAATTATAAGTTTTTAATCTCAATTTTATGGTAAAAAGAATTGAAAAGAAGAAGTAAAAAAAATAAAGAACATTTTTAAAGAAAGAAAAAGAAAGAAGGAAAAAAAGAATAGACTTTTACAAAAAATTGCCGAGGAGGCATCACGATTAATATAGATTTTGAATATCAATCGTTTGAGCATTTCTCAGAAAATTTTTGCGAATAATTTACGCTGTATTTTATTATATTAATCAAAATATTATTAATATTGATTATAATAAATTATATGGCCAAAGAAAAAATAAGTTACAATTATTTTTGTGCGCTTTAGCAGTAACAATAGCAATTTGGGCGGGAGTTTAATATATTTTCATGTATAAACTATATAATTATATATTGGAAAATTATAGGAAAAGAGAAATATAATAATACATTTTGATAGAATAAATATCTTGCCAATTTTTCTAAAAAATTGTTTTAAGAGTTGGAAAATTTTAAGAGTCGCATTATTAGGATTTTTTAATAGTAATACATGTGTTTATTACAAAATGCGATTTACAGAATGCATAAAGAGTTTCACATGATTTTATGAAATTCTCGATTACATTATTCGTCACGTTATAAACAGAAATATTTTCATTCTTTTCCTTCGATTCGAGTATAATTACAAAAGTAACGATACACTCTATGCATCAAAATTGCGCCATTAAGACGACGAGAAAGAATCATACGAGAATTCTTAGACTCGACATTTATAACAGTTTAATTGTGCGCTCCTCATTCCTCGCTTCTCTCCGAATCTCGGGGATTTTGTTTCGAGATCGAGTCGTATTTTTCTGGAACGCAAAGTATAAAAACGACAAATAAATTCAGTCGCTTTTTTTAGGACGGATTTCGTTTTTTTCTCTCGGTTCTCGGCGTTGGTTATTTCCTTCCCGGAGAAATCCTTTTTACGCAATTAGAATTAGATTTTCCTTTAATTATGTATGTGTATGTATGATAGAAAAAACACAGAGATAAAGAAAGAAAGAGAGAGAAGGAAGAAGAAGAAGAAGATAAAAAAAGAATAAGAAAAAAAGGGAAATGAAAAAAGAAACGAAAAAGAGAAAAACGTATTTTGATATAATTTATTGGCGTAAAATCAGTAAATGTAAATTTAAACAATACAAAATAAATTAAAAAGGAGACAACATCAAAAGATACAAAATAAGATATAAGCCTTGCAAGCATTTTTATTATTGAATCATAGGATTAAAATGAAATTATAAACCTAAAAATTTATTATTTAAATATTGGAGTCCAGTTTTGCTATTTTAGGGGAACATTTAATTATAATCTTCATTTAATTATGATGGAGAACATTTAATTATGATTTTCATTTAATTATGATCTTTATTATTGAAGAAATATATTTTGATTCAAGGGTATTATATCCTATAAAAAAAATCTCTACATTTTAATTCTGCAGTCTAGATTTTGCACCAATAATTTGCATTAAACAATAGAATTCGTTATAATTAAACGAGAGCAACAAAGAGAAAGATAAAGAGAGAAAGAGAGAGAGAAAGAGAGAAAGAGAGAGATAGTGAATGAGTGAAGAAGTGAGGTAAATTAGGATTTATTCCTGGACGGGAGAGGAAGGCCTCGTAGGCCCTCCGGCCAAGGGTCTGGGTTTGAGGGGCGCCTGGTGCGGCTTTTTGTGCTCGTTCTGGAGTCCGGTAAGTAGCTCGCTTTTCCGGATGCTCTTCAGGTCCAGGTCGCCGTAGTAATCCTCACTGTGAAGCAGAACCGAGAAAAACCCGGAAGTCATGACATGCTCGGTGCGCGCTACTTGACATGCTTTTGTCGTTATGCTTGCAGATGAGATACTCATGCATGCACATATAGAAAGGCTATATTTGCGTTTATTATATTGTTAGTCACGAATATTTGCAGAGTGCGCGGATTTTTATTTCTTTTATTTCGAATAAAATATTGGCAGAGCAAGTAAAGAATATTCTTGTTACCTTATTTAAATATGCTAATTTTCATGATTTAGTATTTCTCTGTGGATTGCCAAGCAATTAGTATAGAGTCCATGAAATCGACTTTGAATATTTATACACATATCATATTTAAATCTTTATGAATATGTAAATTATAGAAATATTCCAAATTTTTTCATACTTTTGAAAAAAATAGAAATCTGGATGTAAAGCAAATTGATATTGCAACAAAACATTAAAACGATGAAAAAGTTAACACATGTTAGAAGATCATTAACAAATGTAATACTAATGTGCTGATTAGCAGACATAATCATTTGCTAATTTATGATCATGAAAAAAAATCGACCTAGGAAAAAATTGATTTCACGACGCGATTTTTTAATTTTTGTTACACGACAGACATTTCCCCGGTTAGATTACTTTTTATACAGCAGTTACGCAAAACGTTATTAAGTACCGCGAAATCTTGCTGCAACGCGAATATCTCTTTAATTACGGATCATCCGCGAAATGCAATTGCGCGATGCTGTGCCCGAGAATTCTTGAACACAGTTCCATCCTCAGGGAAGCCTGAAATTTTCCCTGTCGACGACTACAATTACCGAGATAATCGAATTCGGATATTTTTATAATTATTTGTTGCACAATATATATTGCGCTCATAATTATTTGTTACACAACGCACTCCGTTATTTTTGCACTCTCGCTGATTTTTCATAGCGTATATTTTTTCGCGACTATTCTGTTAATTCACTAATAACTTAATCCAGTTTTCATTTTAATAATAAAAAATAATACGAAAAATCTATTTTCCATGAGACAATTAAAAAATATGAAAATTTAATAGATCTAAGAGAAAATTACAATTTTTCCGAAAGTAAAATTTGTTATTTTCTTAGTAGAAAAAATTCAATTTTGAAAAAACTAAGCCAGAAAAATTTTTATTATAAGAAATTTTTTAATTTTATGAAAAATTTTTATTTTTTGTTTTATATTTTATTCTATAGTTTTTTATATTTTTATTTTATAGTTTTAAGACAGAGAAATATATAATTATAATATATAATTATATACTTTTAGGAATGTTTTTTAATTTCTTTTCGAGATTTTTTATAAGTATCAATTTATGGTAATATTTTTGGATTTCATTTGTTCTTAAAACTACAATTTTTATAATGATCGAATTATAAGTAAAATTTCGAATTCTTGGTCGTTAGTATTTACCTTCGTATGAGATTAAAAATATGGAGTTTTGATAGATATGAATTATTCATTTACATTGCATTCAATCATATACTCTCGGATGACCTAGATTAGAATTGTAAAATAAAAAATAAATTGTAAAATAAAATGTTCAATTGAAAATGATGTAATAATTGTCTCATCGAAAATAAACTGTGCAGGAAGGAAGAAAATAGTTTTGAGGAAAGATTCTTTACAAATAGGTCAAGAATTTTTTCTAATATTTTTTAAAATAATTTTATCTTTCACAAATCTCTGAAAATTTACTTTTAATTTCTTACTACCGGGTTTTTTTTGAAAAATGTCTCATTTTTTGTATAGAATTTTGAAATTTATCCCTTTCTGCATAATTGAAATATGATAAGGCCTCATGATAAGGTTGTATATTTATATAAAAAATTGCTCACCATCCGGGAACGTCCTCGGGATCCTCGCAAGCGCCACTACCGTCAGCGTCGCCGATCTTGAAGACGGTGCCGATCGGGCAGCCGTATTCCCTGGCGACGCCCTCGAGGCATATGTAGTACTTTCTGCAATCCTCCGGATGGGCGTGTCTGCTGAAGCTGCCGGATGCACCACTCACTTCGCCCGCGGCCGGACACGTGAAACCTCCGGCGACCTCTGCAATAAATAGGGTACAGAATGTTGAAAGAGACAGAAAAAGTAAGAGAGTGAGGAGGGGGACAAAGAGAGAAAGGCATCTCGTTTCTTTAGTGATCGGTCTAGAGTTGATAAATGAAAAAAAGAATATAAGATATTTATCGTGTATAGAGGGAATAAAATATATATTTAAGATTTGCAATAAATAATAGTAGCTCAATTGTAGAAGAAAATGAGCTCTCGTCTTTTACAAAATTAATATATAAATTTCAATATAATTACAATATAATTTTAATATAATTTTTAAAATAATTTTTGATATGTTTAAATTTTTAATATAAATTACAATATAATTTTTTTATGTCATAATATTTTTCAAAATATTAGAAATATTTATATTTTAATGAATATATTTATATTTTAATGAATAAATAAAAAAATCAGAGTAATTTGAGAAGAGAAAACGTTCGTATCTCTAAGATTGTCGATCAGTTCCATGGCGAATTATATATTGCAAATAAAAGAAAATTAAAATCAGCAAGATCAGCGTAGGCAGGTAGAAAGGAGATAGAAGGATTTCTAGCAGTTGTATTGTGAAAAGACTAGTTGAATGCTGTCACGTTCTACGTATGTTCTATTATCCGTATCAAATCGTGCGTAACGAGTTCCTGGGTGACTGGACCAGGAATCTGTGCAAGTTTGCATTACAATGTTCGATCCGGCATAGAATCTAACGTTAGTGGGAAAGTTAAAACTATTTAAAAGGAAACATCGTGACACAATTTTAACGTCTTTCTTGCAAATTTCAAACTGCAAAACTAGAAAAATCCTGAATAGTACAACTATTGCACTAAAAAATACACTATTATCACTTGAATGTAACAAGTTTTCGTTCAAATTTGTCTTCAGCTTGAGTGAAACTTTCTTTAATGAATATTAATTGAGCAAGATTAGAACAATCGATACCTTCGTTTCTGCACTCGGGCACCTGGTCGGCCCACATGCACACCCTGGCCTCACGATCGTATGCCAATCCAGGGCTGCACTGATAGCGGGACGCTTCGCCGTTCCAGCAGTTCCAGAAGACGTCGCACTTCTTCTCATCGGGGAAGATGCCGTAGAGGCGGGTGCAATGAGGGGTACTGATGGGTGGCTCGAGCTGCGTGCGCTCGCCGCAGTCCACGTTGTGCAGGTAATCGCAGTTCTCGGTCAGGAACTTGTTGTCGCTGGCGTCAAACGCGAGGCCGTTTCCGCACGTCTTCAGCTCCGCCACGTTGTTATCGCATTTCCAATATTTGTCGCACGATATATGGTGAGGATAGAACCCGAAGTCATCCGGGCATTTGAAAGATTCCTGACCGCTCGTTCCTGAAATCATTGAGTAAAGATTGTAGATGGTGGGAAATTTACATAATAAATTTGAAAATTTTTTGGGCAATTCTGACTTTGTCCTAAATTAGGTTTTTATGAATAATTTGATTTTGAAAAAGCCTTATCATAGCGGATTTTTTAAATTACAATATTTTTGTAGGTATTTAATTTTATACATGTGTGTCTTATATTTAGCTTTTATAATAACATATAATAATTATATAAAATAAAGAAAATACATAATAAATTAAAAAATAAAAAATAAATAATAAATAAATTTTGCTATTAAAATAAAATTACGAATAACTAGTAACAATAAATTAAATTTTGATTAATTGATATATTGAACAAAAAATTCTAGTTTTTAAATGTTTCTTATATTAAAAAAAAAAACTGTTAGAATAATTAATTTCTTGAAAAGTCGGCCATGTTTTTCAAAGACTAAACAAAAAAATATATAATAGTTACATTTGTCCTTTAAATTCGAGGAAATGATAGAAAATATTGCAAAAGAAAACTTTTTACTATGGAATTAGAAAGAATACTATTTTTGCTTTCAAATCCGCATTTTGCTACATCGAATTCCTCGAATTGCGGTTGAACAACCCCGGTTTTAGCTAGATACCACCGTTCTCTATAGGAAATTACAGGCTAAAATTAACTGTCGACCGCGAGAGAACCTTCCATTCCGGGATTTCTTTTTCCCGTTCTCTCCTTTAAATAGCAATGAAGAATAACACGCGAGCAGCAAGAATAACACGTTATTGCAAGAAATTGAGAAAAAATAAGGAGTAGATAAATAAAGTCTCCTCGTCATCCTTCTTTTTCGCGCGTCACCGATCCACATTAATTGTGCATCTTTTTCTGTCTTTCTCTCTCGCGGACGCACATGACATATGACGTTTGAATAAGTTAAAATGTCTTATGTAAGGGGCAGTACGGGACAGTAACTTTCGCCGGGCGCTTTCACTTTGGGCCCGTGGCCAGACCCGGCTGCGGCCTCTCGTAACTGGGCCCTCCCAGCATCCCGTTCACCCGGTTCGCGTCGCAAGCCGCAGCAGCGAGTCTGTATTTGAGTGTATTCATGTCTGTGTGCGTGGAACCAGCTGTATTCACTTTCGTTTTCCATGGGACCGGTCCCACCACCGAAAGCGACTTTGAAATATTCATCGACCTGAAGACTGCGAATCATGATGCCTCCCTTCTTGCCCCGGGATTTTATTTGCGTTCGACTTCTTTTGGAAAATACGCGACATTAGATTCTTATATAATTACTCGTTTGTAATAAAGATTATGTAAAGTCGAGAAATGCATATAAAAATAATTGATATCAAAAAATATGAAAGTTTTACGATTAAACCGAGGAATTATTTAATTATGCTTAATAATACTGATTAAGATAATATTGAATTTTATTTTTGTTTTATAATATATTGCAAATGTTTTTTATAAGAAAACGTGAGATTAATTAATAATTAATAGTCTCTTGGAACGGCAGCTATGTTTTTCAGAAAATAAACAAAAAATGCTTAGATAGCTACATTTTTTCTTTGAATTGGATATGATAGAAAATGTGTGTTTACGAAATAAAATATATCACGTAAAGTTATATCACACATAAGATGACATATCTTTATAGTGCATTTTTATAAAAAATATTATATTTAAATTTCTTTGAAAAATTTCTGAAAAATACTTCTGAAAAATACTAAAGATTTTTTTAGTTTTTTATTAATTTTTGATGATTATATGATATATTCTCTCTGTCGAAATTGATTGATGAAAGATTTATTATAGATATATAAGAATGGAATAAGATTTATTATAGATATATAAGAATGTAATACATTATATATAATAATCAATTATGTGTTTGAGTTTTATATAACAAATGTTTTACATACAACATATATTTATATATTATATAAAAGAAGATTTCTCTAAAAGATATGAAATTTTAAATAAATTTCTTTACAATCTTTTATTTTCATAGAAAATAGCGTATTTTTCCTTTAACATAATTATTCAATTTAAACGGCATAAAAATTGTCTTTTTATCTTTTTATATCACAAGTTTGTGAATTTTTTACATTTCTTAATTAAACTGAATATTAATATTCTTTTAATTATCTTTATTAACAAAATTCTTGATTAAAACAATATTTTCATATTTCCATCATTATCATTATTTTCTCATTAAAAGTTTGATTCTTCCTTCAAATTTTTTGCGCGATTAGTCATGCGTGTGTAAAATTTTTATACTATGAGTTTGTGTTATAGAAAAATATTAGCATAATTTTCGATGAATTGCATCCTTGAACCTTCCTTTGATGAAGAGTGAATAAAAAGAAGGGTCAAGATCTGGGCCAAGGTTATACCGCGACGACGAGAAAGCATGACGAAAATTTTTAGGCCAGAGGCAGATTTTAATCATCTCGTTACTTAATTAACGCGGTTGCAAAGAAGTTGTTGTGTTGGAAAATTTCGTTATCATTCTTAGAGATAATTAAAGAATGCTCGATTTTATCTAGAAATATCAAATTTTGACATTTTAAGATAAATGCAATATCATTTAATTTATAAAAGAAAGAAAAAAAATCTGAAACATTATTTTATGAAAAAATATTGGAATATCAAAATATTAGAAAATATTTTTTACGTGATTTTGAGAAGAATAACGATACTTAATTATGAAGATGCTATGTGCGACAACTATAGTTTTATATCAATAATTATCGTCTATAAAATTTATTAATTATTTTTCTGTACCCTTAAAACACACATAAATAAAAATTAATATATTATTGACGCAATATATTATAAACGCAAGTATAGAAGATTTTTTTTAAGATTAGAATATTTCTCTTTTAACATGACACAATCGAAAAAATGGAAATATCGAAAAAAAATTGTATCTATATAAATATATTATTTTAACTTAAAAAGCACATTTTCATCTAATTTTTATCTTTGAACTCTCTATTAAGAAAAATATATCTTTTTTTTTAAGAAATATGCGATTACACTAACAATTTCGTCAATTGTTAAACGATATTTAAACGCGATTTAAAAAATTATATTACATTTAATTTAATAGAAAATGATAGACTCATGATATTTCATTTATAAATTGAAAATTTTTATAAATTGAAATTTATGCAACTGTGCGAAGATGAATCGAATCGCGATCGAAATTTCGAAAGTCCAAGAATGATCTCCGCGGATCCTTCGGCGATCCCCGGCGAGATTCTGGCGCAGGGGGACTCGGTCTCCAATAAATCCTGCTTACGACGCACTGCTCTACTCTACACACGCGATATGATCACACACTGATGATGAGATCTCGACCACTTTCCGTTCATTTCGTTCCAAGTCGAACATCGCATCTCACTCGCGACCTTCTGCATTAAATCGGCCCAGTTTAACTTCACCACCCTTGTCGCGCCTTCAGCGATGAATAGATTTTTATTTACGTACCGGCGATCAGTATGGCGGCTATTACGAAGTACGTCCTCATGGTTCAACGAAAAGGTCGACTGCGGAGGTGAACGAAAAATTAACGAGAAAAAAAAGATCTACAGGCACACTTTTAAAGACACCGCCTCCGCTTCGTCGAGAGACAGAACTCTGTGTTTGGGCCCTGTCGTTCGCCACCTTTATATAAGTCATTGGTCACGTGTCTATATTCCTCTCCCCCCTTCTATAGTTACCACTACCTTCTTCGGGCACTTCGAGAAAAGGTGCACCTCTCTACTTTTCTCGTATTTCTCTGTCTCCTTTCTCTCTCTCTCTCTCTCTCTGGAATTTTCTGTCTTTTTCCCCTTTATGATGTTATCCCCTCTTTCGTTCTCTTCTTCTTTCTCTATGTTACGAGGCAATGAAATTCCACACTGGGTATTCGATGTGTTTCTATTCTTGTCAGTCTCGATTGTTCTATTCAAATTCTTGAATGAAGGAATTCATCGCATGAAAAAGAGCGTGATTATAATAACGATATTTCCAGAGAAAATAGATTTCTAAGAGTTTCGGAGATAAATAGAAAAGTTAAAAAAATATGGAGCATATATACATATATGAAATGATAATCTTAAATTATATAATAGTTACCGCGAGAAAAAAGCTGAAAGATGGAAAATGATAAAATGATAATTAATCACAAAATATGCGCGTAAAATTAGATTTGTTTCGGTTGCCGAGTTTGTTATGGTATTGAATTAAACTTTCGTCTACTTAATTAGCTGAGTTTATTCTGCACCTCATTTTAAAACTAACATCAAGCAAGAATAGTCATACATCAAGTTATGAGTTTTCTAGTCATATAAATGAATTATTATTTAAGACATCTCGGTTACATTGCTTTTTTCATCGCACCGCAAAGTTTTGTTTTTGTAAAAATTAAAGATTATTATTTAAGATTATTGTTTTTTATCGGAATTTAATAATCTGTTATGTAGAACAGGACTTTAAGTATGTTTAGAGAAAGGGAAAGTAAAGAAAGAAAGATGTGGTCAGATGAAACGAAAGATGTGGTAAACTTTTCTTTTCTTTTTTTGATTTATCGTTAAAAAGAAAATCCGAAAAGAAAAGTTGTACTTTCCATTTTTACATCTCTGAAATATACATATAAATATTTTGCTTTAAGAATAATTAATATATTTTGCATCATTAATACATTAAAATTTTTATTAGTGTATTAAAATGTAAATAGTAAATTTAAAACTCTAGTATTATTAAAATACATTTTAATTGTTACTTATATATTGTATAATACTTATATATTGCATAATGATTATTTCATTTTGAGCCTAAAAAAGTGAAGTTGAAAAACTCTCTCTAATATAAAATATATCTTTTATTTTACGAACTAAAACCACCTTTTCTTTCATTTATAAATGATATTTCACTCCTGAGACATCTTCCGCAAATCTTGAAAAATCTCTGAAATAACTTTTAGTATTTTAGTGTCTCCGGGATCACTTGTTTTTTTTTATCCACGTTATCTGTTGCTAGTTGCACGACCAGTTTTGAAGTCGCTTTTTGCCAAAGAGTAGTACTTTGCGAATCTTGAAATGCCTTGTTCCTTTCAAGAATCGCAAAATTCAGCGCCGATAGAAAGAGAGCTGTCATCCTTTAATATACAATTATCTTAATTTTTTCTTTGTTGTTTTTCGAGAGACAAATCAGAATTTATTATCTCGATGAATTTCTGTCTGTCATTAACGCTCCCGAAATTCCTGGAAAATTTTTCCGAGGATAGATTCGTTTCGGAGATTGCAGAAGCTACAATATAATTTTAAAGCTAATAAGTAAAGATCATTTTATTTTTATAAGCGCAATATGTACATTAATTAATATTACGTTAAGAAGACGTCGGCGGACGCGCGTTTGCATATCGATAAATTCGTCAAACTGCTTTCGTAAGCGTCCGGCGTCTGCTGCTGGCCATGGTCGTGCGATTTACAGAATACCAGTCGGCTCGTGGCTATAATAATAATTATACAGGACCAAGATACGTGGCTATAATGGCGATCGTAAGGTTGCGATCGATTGCGAGCGGTGCGATACAAAATAACGGGGAAGGCCGTGCTTGTGCGAGACGAGTGAGTCATGTCACCGAGACACCACCCTCTTTGAGATTCTCGTTCGAGACCACGTCCGTTATAAAGTCAGCCGATTATATGCTTTTAATGCATTTCCGGATATTGCCATATCAATATGTGGCCTTAGTACATATGAGAAGAAAAATTGACGTAATATGACAAATTAATTTTTTTTTTTTCGAATTTTTACATATGTGTGTCTCTTATCAAAGAATATCCTTTAAATAAGATTTGTCGAAAAGAATATTTAATTCTATTTTCTTCTTTTTTGAAACCAATAATTACATAGTGATATTAATTATGAAAATGAATTTTACAAAATTACGGATATTAATAATTTTTGCAAAAAATATAGTAATTAATTACATATAAATATGTAAATATGTAGAGATTCGTAAAAATATAAATTAATGCCAAATTATATGAATCTTATAACATAGGTTTAAATGCAATATAAATATATAGGACAAGAAATATATGTATCTATGTGTGAAATTCGCTTGTCTGAAAGCAAGCTGTACATGTTTGGACGTTTTCGTCACAGTCGATAATCACTCTCGCCGACTCTCAAGAGTAAAAGTTTGAAATTTACATTAATATCGCGTGCATACACGAGTCGAGAGAAAAGGAGTTTACCTAGATTTAATTCCACTTTATACATTTGATTTTGTTTGCTCAAACTTATTTTTATTCTAAATACATAAAGACTACGTTTTCCTCTAAACTTATCTCCTTTATTTTTGAAATCTTTTTGATTTACATTTTTAATTTTGTTAAGCTTAAAATATTAAGATATGTATCTTATACAATATATCAACAATGATCTTTTTCTTAAAAAAATAGCAAAATATCGTGTATTTCATTTTTAGACATCAATCGACAGAGAGTTGTTCTTTCAAGAATGTTGAAAAATTAATTCAAAGAAGTTGAATGCCTAGCTTCGAAAATGGAATATGATTAACTGCAAAACGAATTGCGAAGAATCATACTTCATACGAGGAAAAAACATCGGGTTTTCAAGTGCAAATTCAATTCATAATTCCCGAAACGTATTTTTCGAAAAAAATATTAAATAAATTAAATTGCAGCGACATGAGAAAATAACGCGCGGAAGAAAGCCACGAAAAAGACATACAATTAGATAAAATTCCTAACATTTTTCTTCACTCTATCGTTTCTGTGCCAACAAGATTGATTTATTATATTCTTCATATGGACATAGAAATCGCTTGTGTCTCGATCAGAATGAAATAGATAATTGAGATTGGAACTATAAGTTCTGCTGTCTTTTTCTTTGTTTCCAATAAGATTTTTATTAATAGTTTTATAAATAGTTTTGAATAAATTAAGAAATATTGCATAAAAATGCTATTTATTTTATTTATTATTTTGTAAAAAATATCTTATACATATATAAATTTTACATTTTCATGTCTAAATATTTATTTTTATATTATTTTACAAATTTTCAATAAGACAGAGTTCTTTCATTTAAAGTTTTAATTTCTTGTGTGCAAAATGTAAAAATAGATTAATGGGATTAACCTTTTCAATTTATTAAGATTTTCTCAGTAACGTAATGAACTTCAGGCATGATTGATAGAAAATTTTATTTTATTTATATGAACGATACACTTTATCTACGATTTATAACCGTGGAACTTATGCAAATTTTTTAAGCTTTTTCTTACTGCGTCCTTTTAACTTGAATACTGTGAAATCATTGTAAGTTTTTGCAATATTACGAAAAGTCGCATATCGTATCGATAAATCAGATCGTGCTGTATCAATTTATACTTATATCATCTATTTATATTTCCGGTATCTATTACGATTTGTCACGTAAGAAAGTACGAGTTTTGCAACGCATTTCACCACTTCGCGCGACAATCTACAAGCTATTTCGTCATATATGAAAGTCTTTAGCTCGAAAGAAAAGAATTAAGAAAAACTAGAATGTAAGAAATAAAATAATAATTAAAAAATAAATAAAAATTTACATATAGATTTATCATAGATTTATAGATCCACAGAAAATATTCGAATAAAATATTTTTAAGAGAAAGTTTGTCACAATGTCACGATATTTCAAAAGAAAACATAAAATCCAATCGAATTTATATATATTTATATAATCAATTAAATTTTTACATATATTAAAAAATATATTTCTATGTTTTCGAAAAATAGTAATATTTTTTTCCTGTAAAATATTAATAATATATAAAAATAAAATTCTTATTGTCTCATTAAAATTCAGCTCGAGGATATTTATTTAATCAAATTATTTTATTTTGTAGAATTTTAAATTTGACAAATTTTTATGCTCTCTTTATTTCTTGAATACTATATCAATCAATGAAAACTCTCTTGAGATACCTTCGAAACGAGAATCGATCCGCGTGTTTCTTCTCGAGACCAAGGACGATTTCGATCCAAGGCAGACATGCATGTTAATACAAGACGCTTTCGACAACGACGACGACAACGGAACTTTCTCGCTCCGTTTAATCCAGTTTCTCGAATAAATTGTACCGCCGTCGTCGCTTGGTCGAGTGAGAGAGATAATGAGATTTAAAGCGCATTCAATGAGTGGCTGCTGGCTATCGATTAATTCTATTTAAATAATAAGATAAACAGGATTTCTGCGTATTTCTGTCGAGTGTATTTTAAATGTAATTTGTTACAATCTCTTATAATCGAAATAAAAATATCACAGTAATAATAAAGAAATTAATTTAACAGCTCTTTATAAAAAATATTGCACTCCAATGCTTGGTGTGTTAAGTATATTATTTTTTTCAACAATAAAATATATATAATTAAAATAATAATTCTTTTGATTTCTTTTTAATTATCGCGATAATTTAATTATTATCGATGCTTAATTTTTTCCACATTATTAGCTGTCATCGTTATCTTTTTATTAATTGGAAAATTTAATTTGATTAAAAATATAACGCATAACAGCGCGCATTCTATACATTTTTCATGTATATTATCGTGCTTCCGGTAAAAGCGATTTGATTTCCAGTTATCCAAGCGAGTTTTCGCGGCATCAAA